TATTACTGGTAGCAGTATTCTATATTTCCAGTTGCCATAAGTGGAAGTTAAATCGATGAAATGAGACGGAAATACCTTTCTTTATCCGTTATGCGCAAGATATTTCATGCGCAGGCGGTTAAATACGAAATTGAATTATCAGATATATAAAACGGCACACCCACGATAAAACAATTCACGATATTTAACCCAAATTGTTTTGCCACCTTGAATGAGAAAAAAAAAAGAAAAGAAAAAGAAAGAAAATAAAATAGATAAAATTGAAGCTTAAAAAAACTCACGAATATAATTAAATATTAAAAATAAATCAATCTCTTAATATATATATATTTTTATCGATATCTTTTGGCACACGAATTGGCATCCCCCCCTTTTTTTCTGTCCTTTTATTGAAATAATAATTAGTCATGAGTATATAAAAAAACAAACTAAGTTGCATCGACAAAAACAAATTTTCTATTCCTATTCGCAATATCTTTTAACCTTTTCTTTTCTTTCTTTCTTTTTTTTTTTTTCTTATTTCAACAATATATAGTACTGCTTAGTATACACACGTATCATGAAAATCTACACAACCGTGTATTTTATTTATTTGGAGAATTATTTTTATTTTTATTTTTTGTGTGTCCGACGTTCAGTCTCGTTCAACACGCTTTTATTTCCATCTTTCATCTATCCATTTATCTATTCATCTATCCTCTATCCATCCATCCATCTTTCTCTTTCATTCACTTTGACTCACAAATTTGTTCGATATCCCAGCGAGTGGGGTGGTCTTTCTTTCAATATGTAACAAGCAGAAAAAAGAACCGATTTTTTTTCTTTCTCGTTGACCCCATTTTTCTCTTCCCTTATAATCCACTTCTTCTTCTTCTTCTTCTTCTTCTTCTGTCCGTTCTTTTTTTCTATTTTCTTCTCCCGCGTTCCTATGATATTCCTTTTTGTCTTATTTCCTTTCTGTCATCTATTCTTTCATGTAAATCTTGAAAGGGTTCTCCAAGAAGCAGACACTCGCAATACCCTCGGCAAATTGGTATGGGGACAATTGTTTTTGCAAGCCAAGCCAAGCTAAGTTCATCTCCATTGCGCAAGCACATTCCATATTGAAGCGCGGTGCTAAACAAAAATGTGACGACAAGAAAATTTATTTAACCAGTTAAGTATGTGTGTTGACGATTATATCCGTCATGGAAGAATGACAGAATTTTGTGTTTTCACGGCTATATCCGTCATGCGTTAAATTTTCATACAATTTCATATTTAAATAGTAATTCTGGTGAAAATTAAATTATATTCGTAAATATTAACCAGTTAAGTGTGTTTGACGACTATATCCGTCATGGAAGAATGGCAGATTTTTGTGTTTTCACGGCTATATCCGTCATGCGTTAAATTTTCATACAATTTCATATTTAAATAGTAATTCTGGCGAAAACTAAATTATATCTCGTAAATATTAATATGTTTAATAATATTTTGTTGAGGACTTTAAATAATAACGATCGAATTAACGAAGTTTAAATGTGTTGTGTTTGGAATATTAACAAAAAGAAAAATGTATGTCGAATTAAAGAAAAAAGACGCTGAATTTTAAAGATTAAGTTACTGAAGAAGTCCCAATAAAGGGACGAAACGTCCAACTCAATCAAACTAAGTTCTACTTCTTTTCATGTCCAAGTTCCCTGTAAAATTTTATCATTATGTTTAGAATGTTTAGGGGAGTCAGGACGAAATAAAATAAACAAATGAAAATTATAGATAATTTAAGTTGGACACTAGATCATTTGATTATCCCGATTTTAATCTTGACGTGTCATAACCAAAAAAACAAAGTATATTAGATT